AAAAAAAAAAATTCTTGTCAGGAGATCAGGAGTTCAGAGAAAGGGGTTTGTCAGCAAAAAGTCTGTCATATATTGTCAGAAATATGTTTTGTCAGAAAAGGGGATATTGGAATTATGGGATCGGGAAAATAGTATTTCAGGAAGGTATCAAGATACCTTCGCTCAAAGTCATACTTTCGTTCAAAGTCTTAAAAAACTCAAAACGTCTACCAAAATAGATGCTGTGCCAATTTTTTTTTAACCTTTGAACTACAACCACAAAGCCAAATTCAATATTTTTTTTTATTTGAATTCTACAAATCTGTAGAATTCAAATAAAAAAAAAATCATCAAATTTGGTTTGGTGGTTATCGAGACACCTTCGCTCAAAGTCTTAAAAACTCAGAATATTTATTAAAATAGAAGCTGCGCTGAAATTTTTTCAAACTTTGAACGAAGGTATTTTGATAACCACCAAGCCAAATTCGGTAAACTCTCTTTTATTTAAATTCTACAGATCCATAGAATCTAAATAAAAAGAGTTTGCTAAATTTGGCTTGGTAGCTATCGAGTTACCTTTATTCAAAGTTTAAAAAAGTTTTGGCACAGCTTCTATCTTGATAAACGTTTTGGGTTTTTTTTTAAGACTTTGAGCGAAGGTGTCTTGATAACCACCAAGCCAAATTCGATAAATTTTTTTTTATTTTAGTTCTACATATTTGTAGGATTCAAATAAAAAAAAGTTTATCGAATTTGGCTTAGTGGGTATAGAGAAACCTTCGCTCAAAGTTTAAAAGATGATATACAAAAAAGTGACAAAATCGTGAATTATCACTGATCTACATCACATGCTGCAAAAAAAACATACTATGTCCTGGCCCGGTTATAGAAAGGATATTGTTTGGTAAAATGAAAAATCTCTGTAGAATTGTAGAAGCTGTGTTCTGGTGTATCTTTTGTTTGTTTAGGAATTTAACCACTGTGTCATGGATAAGTTGAAATATTATAGTTTGGTTTTTGTTACAAGTGAGCCAATGAGTATTGTCTTCAATGCCAGTATGGCATCTTTTGCATGTTGGGTTAATGTAAGTTTTTGGATGTCGAAAGTGTAGGTTAAGAAGTGTAGGTAATTCATTAAGAAGAAACTTAATTTTGAAATTTTTAATTTGTAATAGTTTAGGATATGTAGATCGAGTATGTGGTTTGTTGTTATAGTTGATGTAGCAATATAATAGTTCCCAGTCAGTGTTTTGTCAAAACTGGTTCCAGGCCTGGGTTCTGTTTAAGGAATGCCACCTGGCTATATTGTTTGCATTTTGTATATGTCTAATGAATCAGCGAGTTTTGTGTTTAACAATTGTGTTGTTCCAGCTTATGAAAAAGTTGTTGTGGTCAAGTGTTTAAGGAGTGAGTTCTAATTTGTTATATTGTGTTGATATAATGGTCTGTATCGTGCGTTGAAATAGTGGAGGCTTTGATTTAGCATCGATTAGTGTAAATTTGATTGTAGCATTTTTTCATGCTATAATAGTATGTATAAGTTGCCTAAGTGGTCAGAAATTATGTTTTTGTAAACTTAAACCTTGATTTTTTTTAAAAAGATTTTGTATGCAATTTTTTAATAAGAAATTTTTTGTAGGATTATTCATACTTTAAGTTATTGGATATGAGTTTTGGCAAAAGAAAATGTATCTATCTAAAAATAGATCATTATGAATTTCATATAATCTATTTTTAGATAGGTACATTATTTTATTTCTTTTATTTTTGTGTGATTTAATGCAAGCTTAACGATAAACAATCATGTGTTTATTTTTAGATTAAATTTATTGCTCACTTTTCAAATTACTGTGATTATCAAATGATCACCCATTGTGCAAAAAACTTAAATTTCTAATTTCTTTAATGTATATCTTTGTTCAATGCTATTTTCGAATTCTACTAATTAAATCCAGACCATTAGAGATATCTTTGCTCAAAGTTCGAAACAGATAAGATTAAACTTTAATCGGATAAATGTATTTTTTGGCCAATCATAGACTTGCTAAAATTCCTGATTCCTAGATTCCCATGTGGTATATAATATTGACAAGCGCAGTAATATAGATATTTAAAATAAACTATTCAAATTCACGATATTTCTATTTAATTTTATTTGAAATTGCAAGTATAAAGAAAATTATTAATCTAATATTTAACATAATTTTTTAAATTCATAAATGCATTGTTTACTATTTAATTTACTGAAATTCATGACTATAAACAAAATATTTATTAATCCAAGCATTTAAAATATAATTTCAATTTTATGAACATTCTGTTCTATTTATTGCATAAAGCAAAATATTGGTATCAAAGATAAGCTTTGAGTTTAAATTGTGAGAATATTGTGTGAAAAAACAATCAAATTAATTTTAGAGTTAAAATAAGGTTAGTACAGAGTAATAGCTCTTAGCCTAAAAGGTTTTATCAAAGTTATAAGGCATCTTTTTGTAAAGTGATTTGCTTTTATGATTGTAGTTCCATCGATAAGTTCATTAATTATCAATAGTTTCATATATTATTCATCAATAGTTTTGTCATTTATCAATAGCTTTTCAATAAAGTTTATTACTACTAACTCTAACCTAATGCAGGCCAACTTGTCAGAATTTTGATATTGTTAAGAAAAAGATTGTTGGGAAATGACAGGATCTGCATATATACAATTATTTATATGCTTCTAGCGGTTATAATCATATTTTTTATCTTATTTATTTAATTGTAATTTTGTAAAATAATATATAATTTAATTTTTGTTATTTAAAATATAAAATGTAATAGTGATTATAAATGAATTGTGACTATATATAGAGATGTTTATAAATAAAATTGTGCTCAAAGTTGTATAGTTATATAAGTTAATAATTATATGAAGCTTATAAAAACATTTAATAGGTGCAAAGTAACCATAGATGCGATTTATAATAAATGTTCATTTTTTTAGCTTTGTAAGTTTTACTTTAGCCTTTATTTGCCAGTTTTTAATTATGTTGATTTTTTTCATTCCTAGTTTCGCCACGTTTTGACAGTTTAGCCATTTCGCATTTTTAATTTTTTTTTCTGCAAACCTAGGTTTTGTCTAACAATTATAATTAATTTATCTCATTTTATTTAATAAATGTATTATATCCAACAACAACTTTCTGCTTACTGTATCCAAGACAGCAATTATTGCCTCATCAAAAATGGTTTTCAAACCCTTTTAAGTTAAAGCTAAACACTCAACATATTTAATTGCATCTAATTCTCGAGAGAGTCTTTCTTCTTGCACTGAAGTTATGGGTTTTATTTTTTGTCATGATAGTCCTTTAACTACCAATGGATCACTCCGCAACTCTATTTGAGTACCAACAATCAGGCATGGAATTCCTGAACAATGGTGATGAAGCTCTGGGAACCATTTTTCTTTGACATTTTGAAAAGAAGCTGGTGAGGTTACAG